TATTTGTAGTGGCAGCAACATTAGTGGCAGTAGCAGTAGCAGCAGCAGCATTATAATAACATTCATTGTATTTATCAGCTAGTGTTTTTTTGGCCATATCAATATTAATATTAATAAAATAATTAATAATAAGACAAGGGTTACATATTGCATATGGCACATGATACGGCATAAAACAAGGGTCATGTCATTCGGCATATTGGGCCCATGTCAACCCGTGTGACCCGTGTGACCCGTATGACCCGCGGGTCAAATCAAATTCATGACCCGACCCGAAATATGGTCAACCCGACCCGACCCGAACGGGTCATAACCCGCGGGTCACTCGGGTTGACCCGACCCGTTCGGAACTCTAGTCTTGACATCTTGTGATTATAATGTTTATAATATTAATATTATTGATTACAAAAAGCAGAATATTATCAATGAAAATCTTGTAATTACCCAGAAAGATCTGCTCCGCGTTTTGATTCCAATTAAAATATTTATAATAACCAAAAAGACAATACAAATAAAAAAAAGTACCTCTGGTTAGTTATTAACACTTCTTCTTTAGGAGACCCAAACCAAACCAAACAACAACACTCACATTTTGTTACCTTGGACTCTGTCAAAAAATAAATTGTTTTTCCAAGAAAAAGAAAAAAAAATCAATTCGTGTCTGTCCTACCAAAAAAAAACCATTAGGATAAAATAATTGTGCTACATGTCGATTAATTCACGAACTTTTTTTCTTTTTTTTTTGTTCTTACAATGCCTCCAAAAAAAGAATCAAACAAAAGAACCAAAGGATTCACCCCCAATGTAGCTGGGTAAGCGTTTTAAAGATGGTGGTGGTGGTTATCGCCTGCCACTCACCGTCACTCTAGTTATTATAAAAAGAACGGTGATGGTTGCAATCATTGCAACTTGTCATTCTAGTTAATATGTAAACTTTTGTTTAACACGTTTTTTTATTTCTTTAATAAAAAATACCTCCAAAAAAAAAAACAAAGAGACAAGGAAGATGCAAGTAAGTGTTATTCATTAGAAAGAATGGTGGTTGTTGTCACTCTAGTAGGCCCTGGACAATTATAATAGGCACTATGTTTTGGGCGCAGTAATTTTTTTGGATCATATTGAGCATGATTGGTAAAAATGTCTAGTTCTAACCATTAGGTCTATGGAATTTTGATGTCAAAAGATATATCTCTGTAAAAAAACTCTTTTTATTATGATACTTGAATGCATTTATTTACTTTGGAAAATCACAAGTTAGATATTGTGTTAAAGTTTTACAGCATAGTAGTACCTATGACCTCAATTATAATTGTTCAGGGCCCTACGTCCTACTCTAAGTTCTAATAATTTTTTCATAAATAAATTCCAAGCCATGTGACCACTAATTTATTATTGTTGAAATTATGCATAAGAAAATTAATTCAATAAAAAAAAAAATTTTTTTTTAAAAATAATTAATTTTTAAATTTTTAAATCTTTAAAAATGGCAAATAGAACAAGAACTAAATGATGCAAAGAAGGAATATGGTGAGGCAAAGAAGAATTTGGAGAAGTGGGAAGAAGGGAATAAACAGAAGAGATTAGATGACTTGGAGAAGTTAGATAAGGGAGAATACAGGGATGAAAAACAAGAGAAAAAATGGGAAGATAAAATAGTTGGGTTAAAGAGGGAGAAGGAGGAATTGAAGAAGAACATGGATGACTGGAAGAAGCAGGTGGAGGAATGGGGAAAGGCGTTGAGAGATTTCGGTGGAGGAGGTAATGAACAAATTGCATAAAAAAAAAAAAAAAAAAATTATTTTTCGTTCATTTGATTTCGTTTTATTTATTTATTTTTTCATCTGAAATATATTATTTACAACTTTAACTAATTAATTCTCTCTCTTTGTTTTGTTCCTTTATTTATGATCTTTATTATTCTATACTCATTATTCCAATATCTCTTCCTTAATACCTATTCATCCTATTATCTATTACTTTTGCACATTTTTTCATGTGCTTCCATTGGAAGGAACTGTATCAAGGAAAAGTGATGGCTACTTGCAGACTAGTACTAAATGGCAAAAATTGGAACTAATACAAGGTTTACAAATGTTTTCTTTGCTATTTGTTATGGTTTGTATTTTTCTCACCTTTTTTTTTATAGAGGAGTATGACAGGACCAATGATAAAATATATAATATGAGAGGCCCTTCAATTGCAGCAAAACCTGGTTACTTCTTTTATCACCAAGCTAATGAGGAAACTCATTTGATCTTTAACCGTCGCCCATTTGAATCTACTGGTCCTTCAATATTTCTCTATAACAAAGTCTTTGGACTATTCTTACAGGATTTCAACATCAGGAAATTTTTTCTGACGCAAGTTTACATCCATAAGTTTTAATATGAAATGACGTAATATTTTGCATAAAAAGGACGTAATATTTACACTGAATGTAATAATTGCGTAATTTTTGTGCAATTTTTGCATAATATTACACTATTTATGTAAGTTTATGGCGGGCCCCATAATATTATGTAAATTTATGGCAGGAAAAGTTTCCTGATGAAGGATGTATCTATCCCTAATGATTTTTACAAATGGACTAAAGAACTCCTTTGGATTGCAGCATCTGGATATGAGGATGAAAAAACTCGCCAAGGAATCATGATGGAAAAGTTTCAAGAACTTTGGGGTGTTGTACATAAAGAACAGAATCCTGATAATAGTGCAAGTGATGGTGTACTAACAATTTCAGTCAAAAACCAACTAGCTTATAAAGCCATTTTTGAAATTAAAAATGAAGTTGGTTCTGGTGGGTGTGACCCCACAATCCAAGGATCTTTATCATATGAAAAGTATTGGTACTATGCTGTATGTATTTATTTATCAGATTTTTGATGATATATTATATTTTTGTACCATGTGTTATTAATATATTAATTATTTTATATACTCAAATTTTATAATTTTATAAGAAACAAAATAAAGAATATTGTTGTTGTCCATCCATCATTGTTAGTATTGCTGGCCCCTGGATCTGTATCCTTGGTGCTGTTTTTATAGACAAAGTAGTAGTTGAACCATTGACAGATATGATCTTTCTAGCAGATCCAGTAGATGATGATGATAAGTTTTGTCAGATTATTCAATTGTTTGTAGCATTAACTAATGCTTTTGATCACCTTCATCAATTCTATTCAAATTTGGACACAACTCTATCTGAGATATCATTGAATGAGATTCCAAATGATTATTTTTTACAAGACAAATTTTTCCCTTATATTTGGGAATTTATAATAGAAGATAAGAAATTCCATTTTACCTATGATGGTCCACTAACTAAGAATTATGCAAAACCAATTTGGAAAGCACGATTGGATGATAACACTGAGATAGTTGTAAAATTTGCAAAAAGATATAACAGTGAAGCACACAAGATCTGTTATCATAAAGATCTTGCTCCAGAACTGATCTTTGTTAGTGAAAATATATATAATGGATTTTATATGATTATTATGAAGTACATTGATGGTATTCAACTAGACAATCTTATAACAGATACTCATTGCACTCAAGAAACTTTAATAAACATCTATAAGGATATAAAAATTGCTATTGATGAGTTGCATCGTAACAATATTGTATTTGCAGACCTTAGACCTCCAAACATCTTAATTAGAGTTTTAGATGGTAAGCATAAAGTAACTCTTGTAGATTTTGATTGGTGTGGAAGAGATAGAGTGGATAGATACCCAGCATCAATAAATTGGGAACAACCATGGCATAATGATGTTAAACCCAATGGTTTACTTAAAAAAGAACATGATTATCATATGCTTGACCAATTAAAGGACTTACTACATGAACTTGATAATGGAGATCACAAATAAGAAACCATTTCCAGGATTTGTGGATGACACCGGATACCAATTATAAATTGATTTTTTAGAATCTATTCAAATAAATAAATTAGTTTTCTTTAATTTTATAATTCTTCATTAATCTTCAAATCTTTGACATGTAATAAATTTTTCAGTTTCGAAAGGCATGTCTTTATCAAGATTAATATTATTTTTAGATATAGCATTGTGGAATATTAAAAAGAAAATGAAAACTTTGTATTGTCACAAAAAAAGAAAAAAAATCATAATATGTTTGCATCCACCAAATTATCATCATTCAAATTTTTTAATATTTTTAGATATAAAACTAAAGTTTGTATTATTATTACCTGAAACTTGATTAACTTAATTAAATACAGTAACTCAAAAATGTCTTTAAATTTTTTATTCATTTAAAAGCCCTGGATTCCAGCATTCTAATTATATGTTGATTGAATTACTTTATTATAGAATTTTTGATCACAAATTTGATGTATCATTTTGCTAGTTTTTTGACTTCTCACAACTTACATAAAATTATCTGATTGAATTTAATAAAAAGGCTTTAATGTCATTAGTTATTATTTCTATATAATACTATTCAAAGAGAATAATTCTTAAAAAAATCACAAAGTGAACATAACATTATAAAATTATATATATAGGGATAAGTGTATATGAAAAGTAATAACAAATATAATGGTTCTAATGAATATCAAAAAGCAATTGATTTTTTAGAAAAAGGATGTAAATGTGGTTGTTCTTCAAGAATCCCCAAGGAAAATTTTGCAGAATTAAGAGAATCTTTTCAAGCTCTTTCTAAAGCAGAACAAGACATATTTTTAATGGCCCAACTTAAAGCAATGGATGGTGGATCAACAAGTGTTAGCAGACGCCTTAAAAAGAAAAGTAGATCTAATAAAAGAACTTTCTACCATTGGGATTACAATGCATCCCTTTGTCAAGAAACTTATCTCAATATGTTAGGAATTGGGTAGAACTTATTTTGAAAATATCAGAAATCATCTAATAAACAATGGTCTTTTACCAAGAATTCATGGTAATATTAAAAGAATGCCTCAATGGAAAACTAAGATGGTGATTGATAAAAATGTTGCTGAAGTAGTAAAGAATTTTCTAGAAAATTATGCAGAAGTCCATGGATTACCAAG